TTCATCATTGCTTCCAGTTGCTTTAGCTTCTCTAAGTTAAAGACCAAGTTTCAAAGTCTCTTCTGACATCATTTTGATCTTCTCTTTATTGAATATTTTTTAATGACCTTTTGGTTTCTATGATGTTCTTGATGTCATTCACATCTCCTGTTGTCTTTGGTAATTAGTGTTTAATGTACCAAATCTGTTCTTTAAGATGTACTGTAAATTAAGCAGGGATATACTCAAGGTCATATTTTGGCTCTTGTGGACTTGTCTTTCAATTTTTTAAGCTTCAGCCTGAACATGCATTTGAGCAAATGGTCTGTTTCACAGTTAGCCCCTAGCCTTGTTTTTGCTGATGATCTGGAGCTTTTCGACTGTTTCTTCCTACAGATGTAGTCAATTTGATGCTTGTATAGTTCATGTGAGGAGGTACATGTATGTGTATGTCACTGTTGTTAGGTGCCTTCAAGTTAATTTCAACTCATAGTAACCTATATACAACAGAACAAAACAATGCCCAGTCCTGTGGCATTCTCATAATTATTGTTGCACGTTAGCCTGCTGTTGCCACCACGATGCCAATCCATTTCTTTGGGGGTTTTCTCCTCTTTGCTGACCCTCCTTCTCCAGAGACTGGTCCTTCCTGATACTATGCCCCATGTATGGGAGACAAAGTATTGCCATCCTGGCTTCTAAGGAGCACTCTGGCTATACTTCCTCCAACACAGGTTTATTTGTTCTTCTGGCAGTCCATGATACTTTCAAAATTCTTCTCCAATACCATAACTCAAATACATCAAATTTTCTGTGGCATTATAGGCTTATTGTTCAACATTCACATGCATATGAGGCTACTGCAAAATACCAGTAGGCTTGGTTCAGGCACATCTTCACCTCAAACTGATATTTTTGCTCTCGAAAACTCTGAAGAGGTCTTGTGCAACCAATTTGCTGAATGCAAGACATCATTTGATTTCTTGACTACTGCTTCCATGAGTGTTAACAATGAATCCAAGAAATATTTAGTATTTGACAATTTCAATCTTTTTTCCATTAATCATGATGTTATTGACTGGTCCAGTGGTGAGGATTTTTAATTTCTTTACATTAATGTGCAAACCATACTGAAACCCGTGTTCTTTAAGGTTCATCAGTAAGTATTTTAAATTCTCTTTACTTTCAGAAAGCAAGGTTGTATCATCTGCATAATGTAAACTGCTAATGAGTCTTCCTCTGATCCCGATGCCAAATTCTTTTTATAATCCAGATTCTTAGAATATTTACTCAGCATACTGAATGAATAAGTATGGTGAAAGAATATAACCCTAGCACACACCTTCCCTGATTTTAAATCATTCAGTGTCTCCTTGTTCTTGTCAAACAACTGCTTCTTTGTCTGTGTTTAGGTTCATTATGAGCACAATTAAGCATTCTTGTTGTTGTTATGTGCTGGGGAGTTGGTTCTGACTCAGAGAGACTCTTACAGGGTTTCTGAAGGGGTAAATCTTTACAGGAGCAGAAAGCCTCATCTTTCTCCTGCGAAACAGCTGGTAGTTTCAAACTGCTGACCGTGAGATTAGCAGCCCAATTTGTAACCACTATGCTCCCAGATAAACATTTTTCAAAATGTTATCCATCTATTGTCATGATCCATATAGTCAAAAGCCTTTGCATAGTCAATAAAGCACAAGTAAATGTCTTTCTGTTACTCTATCCTTTCAGCCAAGATCCATCTGAAATCAACAATGATCTCTTGTTCCATGTCCTTATCGAAATCCTGCTTGAACCTCTGGCAGTCTGGCTGATGTACTTTGCAGCTGTTTTGAATTATCTTTACCAAAATTTTACTTGCATGTGACATTAATGATACTGTCCAAAGATTTTATAATTCTGTTGAATCACCTCTCTTTAGAATGAGCAGAAATACAGATCTCTTCCATGCAGTTGGCCAGGTAGCTGTCTTCCAAATTATTTGGCATAGATGAGTGAGTGCCTCCGGTGTTTTATCAATGTATTGAAATATTTCAAATTGCATTCTATCAATTCCCAGAGCCTTATTCTTTGCCAATGCCTTAAATGTAACTTGAACTTCTTCCTTTAGTACCATTGGCTCTCGAGCATACGCTACCTCTTGAAATGGGTGAACAATCGACCGTTTCTTTTTGGTACAGCAACACTTCAATTCTTTCAGCTCAGGAAATGCTGAGTGTGTTCTTCCCTTTTTGTTTTCTAACTCCATGTCTTTTATTCATTAAAATACCTGACTTTGTTATCTTGAGCTGCCCTTTTAATTTTTCTGTTCATCTCTTTTACCTCTTCATTTCTTC